GTTTATTGCTTTGTCCGTACAGTCATCAGATTCTACTTTTATAGTATGTTTTCATTTTCCAGAGAATACTGCTCTTCTTTGTACTGTTTCAGTTAATTTTTTAGTTTGCTCTTCAAGTTTTATTTATCATCCCACATTTGGACTTAAGTAAAAGTTCCTTAAATGTGTAGATTAATTTGGCAAGAAAGACTATTTTTTTTTCCTTTCAAACAATGATTGTTCATGTGTCCCTGCCTGACCTGGAATTCATGATCCTCTTGCCTCAGTCTCCTGAGTGCTGGGATTACAAGTGTACACACAAGGCTCCATTTCAGAGATACTGTTTTTAAAGCATTGTACCTGTGAATAATGAATATCCACATATTTAGGTAATGCTACATATGTAATCGTGGATCATACTATATTGCAGTCACAGACACAAGAAAAGAGAACTTCATCTTAATATGATTAGGGGGTTTGTCTGCTTTTAAGTCATTGCTTTCTGCTTGTAAAATTGAGTTAGAGTAACTTCTTTCTTCTTGCTTCGCTGATCTTCACTTGATGTGCTATGCATACCACCCTTTTCTTCCTTTTGAATCTTCATTTGTATCTTTTTGCTCATTTGTCCCCATCCTGGATGTACAGGGTTGGTAGAATTCCCAGCTTATGAGTCCATAGCTGCTATATTTATCTACAGTGTATTAGATTTGCATTCCTCAGTGTAGTTGGTTTTTATCTCTTCTTCCTGTTCATTTCCATTAAATTCACATCTCCTCATTTTTTTAAAATCTTGTATTTTCTGTGTCTACCTTTCAAGTTTTTGTTTTGTTTTGTTACTATTATTGTTTCAATTGAGATGTGAGCAGAGAAATTTTTGTTGTTGTTGTTGGTCATGGGACTTGAACTCAAGGGCCTGAGTTCTTTTGCTCTACCACTTTGAGCCACAGTCCCACTTCTGATTTTCTGGTAGATAATTGGAGATAAGAGTCTCATAGACTTTCTTGCTGGCTCTGAACCATGATCCTCAGATCTCAGCCTCCTGAGCAGCTAGGATTATAGGTGTGAGCCACCACTGTCCAGCTTCAGACAGAGAAATTTTGTCTTCTTGAAACATTGCACTCAATTCTAGATATATATTTGGAAGAATAATTCTTTTAAAATAAATGGAATATTTGTTCCAAGAAGATAAAACTCTCTTATCATATGATTGCACAGTGGCATGACCTAAGATTATATCATCACTGGTCATATAAGAAGAATATTAAAAATCACTGGACAGACTGATTTGATCTTCTGATCAATGAAAGCAATAATGCTATAGAAGAATATTTCTACTAATGACTGTCTTAATAACAGAAAGATTAAACACACAAGGGAAGATGGGTACAATATTCCAGCAGAGAATATAAGACAAGTAGAGAAAAGTGGAGACAATCAAAGTGTCAATTTCTTTTTCTCTCTAAGAATCACAAGAACCAAGGAAATACTCCTGTACACTTGAGCATTCTCTATGACTTCCTTGTAACATGTTGGGTTTCTTATAGGATTCCTTTTGCCTACTATGCCTTTCCAGTCCCCTATTTTACAACTAGTGCTCTCTCTCCTTTGGCTTCTCATTTCCTAAGCACTCATATTTTTGTTGTGTCTGAATATGAACACATGTGGTATTCATGATTCTCCTGCTCCTGATTAGAATGGGTTCATTATTTACAGCTGTCTTGTTCAAATCTGATGGCCTGATCTCAGTTGGTTGCTATATAGCTTTTGAATTTCCAGGCCTGGGATTTAGTGCCCTGTGGAAAACACAGAGATTCCCCTCTGTGAGGAACAGAGATTGGGTATGTTTGCAGCTGAGGCTCTGAATGTGTGTTACTTCATTAGAGGCAGAGTAATGTATCCAGGAATCTGAGTCCTGGACTCTGTGGTCCAGCCAGTGACTATAGATTGTCTGATTTGAAGTATATTATCTTTACTGAGGTTTATGAAAAGAAACTGCATTGGATACATTCAGAGTATATCGTAATATTTAAGAAAATTAGCTTTGGGATCCTAACTTAGGTTTGTGTTTCATTATAATTTTGGTCAAGATTTTGTGTTTTTTGTTTGTTTTGGTTAGTTGTGGGTCTAAACCGTGGGCCTAGGTGCTGTGGCTCTTCAGCTCAAGGTTAGTGCTCTACCGATTGAGCCAGAACGCCACTTCCAGCTTTCTGAGTGTTTTATTGGAGATGAGAGTTTCACAGACATTCCTGTCTGGACTGGCTTTGAACCATGATCCTCAGATCTCAGCCTCCCAAGTAGCTAGGTGTGAGCCACGGGTGCCTGGCTTTGGTCAAGATTTTGAATCTATGTGTTAAACTCTCTTTTATATAGCAGGGTGAATGAGACTGTTCTCATAGGATCATTGAAAGATACTGAGATAACGTTGGCATTACAAGGAACACAATGTCTGCCATCTGGTAAAAAGCTCAGTGCAGGATAGTTATCTCTTCTTGATGTAGGGGAATGCAGAAATGCTCCCTCAAAACTTTATACTGGTACTGTTGGTCAGTGCTGCTCTCACTATTAACTGAATTCCTGGGATTTGTTCTCAGTTGACTAATTCAAATGTCAGTCTTTGTGATTTCAAGTCTTGCTGTGTTGCAGTTGTCAAAATCATTAAGAGTGTTAAAGTCTTCTGATCTGTATGCATCAGGTGTTAAATTCACATTTATAAACTCATAAAAGGTGTCCAGAATGTTCAAATGAGTGTACAGTTCCTTCTTCTGTCAGTGACAGATACCTTCTATGATCCTTTTCCCCCTCTGATATTTAGAACACAAAAGACAAGACAGTTTTCTCTACCAAGGACTTTCCAAATGTTTCACATGATTCAAGTTCTCTTCTTGGACATCACATAGGTTGTTCCTCACCCCCCCCCACCAATCTCTAAAGGTTTCTTTTCAAATCCTGAGATGAAATTTGGCATACCAACTTCTCTCCTGTCTTCTGAAGCCAGCTTTTATGTTCTAAATAGAAAGTAAACAGTCACATTCTAGAAATCACAAGGAAGACCAAAAATAAGCTAGTGGGGGAGGCGAAGTTGAAAATACAGCATTTCAAGAGATACTCTGCATACAGTGTTCTTGACAGGCAAATGCTGGGCCTGCAGACGTGATCCTGGCCTGCCAGAAGCAGACAATAGGCTGGGTATGTAGGAGGATGAGCGGGCGTCCCAACCTCACTGACATACTCTTGGAAAGGAGGGAACTTCTAACCATTAGTTAAATATGTTGTTTTGCCTCATTTGTTAATATCACAAAAAAAGATCTTGCTAACACATGTATCTTATTATATACACATAGAATTCATATGCATGTTAATTATGTATAGTACTAGGGATTAAGCTCAAGACCTTACACATGCCAGGCAAGTGCTTTACTATGGTCCCGATGTGGCCTGCCCCTTCCCCCACCCTCACTCCCCCCTGTTTATTCCTTTTGCTTTTAGTTAGTTTTGTGGATCAGATCTTACACTAACTTTGGCTAGGCTGGTTTCCAGTGGAAATTCTTTTACCTCCATTTTCTATGTAACTGGGGGTACAGGCGTGTGGTACTATGCCCTGCTCACTTACTCCTTTTTAATCTAACAAGTTAGGTATCTGGTCCTAGTTTAGAGAACACTGACTTCTTGATACACGTTGATAGTCTAGCAGATTTATATGTGTACATTCCTCTCGGGTCCACCTCTGAGGGACTGACACTTTCCACTGGGGGTTCTGGACATAGTCTTTTGAACAAAAGCATATTTTAAAAAATGCTCTTGTGATTAGTACGTAGCACAGAGAAAAATCAATGCTCCTTTGTGGACAGATTCCAATTTTCTCACATGACCCTGGTCCCTATCCCTTCCAATGCGTTGAGGTTGGAGTTACATGAACAATTGCTCCAAGATAGCTCAGCTCTGTTGCCCCCAAAGTCTGGTCTATGATTTGGCATTTGTAGCATCATCTGGGAGCTTGTCAAAAATGTAAGATCAGTGACATTCCAGACAGACACAGAGCCTGCATTGTAAGAAGTGCCTGAGGAGATGGTGAGCTTGTTAAAGTTCAAGCAGGTACGTCCGTCTAAAAGCACATGGGCCTCGACAGGATAGCTGAGCTTTTATCTGTAACTCACATCCTGCTTGGCTTCCAATAATCTTCGCTTTGTCTCCTCCATAAAATAATACTTGTTATCGTCTTTGACCAAACACTGGTGAGTTGAGAAGACATAGACCGTAAAATGCCATTTGTGTCAATGTGGATCAAGGTCCACACTGAAAGCAGGCAGTTGAAAAGAAGGATAACAATTGCATTGGAAACACTTTATTATCAGACAGAATTCATTAATTTTGCTTCAGGAGATAAGGGAGGTGTGAATAATTAACTTGGCTTCTGTTTCCAAAGGGAAGGAGACAAGTGGTCTCTGCCAATCTGTGTTTTTCTTTCTTTCTTTTTTTTTCTTGCTTTTTACAATTTGGTAAGATAAGTAAAAATAATGCAGTTGTCTTTCGCGTGACATTATAATTCAGCAAAGTGTTTACATAAAAACAGAAGGGAAGTTTTGACAATATGTTTTATTCATGGCACAAGACTCACCAGAGAGGGTTTCCTGGCAGCACTGATTTTGGTTCAACAATCTGGAAGGACTTTTACCTTTTCTTTGAGTCAGGTTCAAGACATAGGTTGCTATGTATTTGTGGCTTTGAGTTCTCTCTGTCCTATGATTCTAATGATCACCCGTCCCCATTATTATTTTGTGTCTATTTTGTGACCCCATTAATAGATCAGCACTACCTGTTCATAACTGTAAAAGCAACATAAAGTACCATCACCAGTGGGTGAGTTAGACAAGGGAATATTATTGTCAACAAAATGGTATGGCTTCTGGGGATGAGAAGTCTGGGATAGTATTGTGGGCAAGGCTGCCCTTTAGGATCACGGTATCTAGTGTTCTCTCCTTCATATTAACTGTTTGTTGTTATACCATGTGTCTTTCTAATAGAAGAAACAAAAGCATGTGAAGACGATGAGATGGAGAAGCTCTACAAATCATTAGAGCAGGCTAGTCTATCTCCGCTTGGCGACCGGCGACCTTCCACCAAAAAGGAGTTGAGAAAGTCCTTTGTTAAACGCTGCAAAAATCCATCCATAAATGAGAAACTGCACAAAATCCGCACCCTGAATAGCACGTTAAAGGTAAGATGACTGCAGAGGATGGTTGGACTCAGTGCACGCGAGGAAAAGAAAGGTTGGTTCTGCCAATCGCAGTGATCATCGGTGGGTGGCGGGGAGGGCAGAGAACACAAATACAGTACAGGTGAGATGACCCTGGCATGTCTGAAGCACTAACATCCCCACAGAAGCACCAGAGGCAGTTTTTCCTCGGTCAGCCTTGGTTTGACCTTCATACCCATATAAAATCTTAAATGGAAAGCTCCTGGGTGGCAAGGCCCATGTGCCTTTTGTTTGTGTCGGGCTTGTTCTGGCTCAGTGTGTGTTGATTAGACACAGAGATCATCAATCAGTGATAAAAGGTGGTAAAACAAATAAAACCTTGAGTTTTCAGCTGGTTCATTTATTCCTCTGTGCTGCATTCAGGAGAGAATGTCTAGATTGCCAACTGTAGATACCACAGCCAAGGAACACCATGAGAGGCAGGCGGGGGGTGCGGGGAGGGGAGGGGGCGGGAAGCATACATTGTGGTAATAGACTAGCAGATGCTTTCACAATGGAAAGAAGGGACGGCGTACAGGATGTACTGGAGCTATTTTCAGGGCCTCCCGTCACTGAAACGGTTCTTTGGGACAAAAGTATCCTGGCTCATATTTAGATTCTAACATGACCAAGGGCAGGCCAGGATGCTTTGTAACATAGTCCCGAATTAGCAGATTTATACATCCTGAAAAGCCTCGATGGGTCTAGCTATTTAGTTCTGTTGTGTGCACGTCCTTTTGCAATAAGAACTGGAGTCATTTTCCAGGAAGAAATGTCAGCGATCTGAAAGGACAAGGGCACAAAGAGATGACTGAGTGGCCCTGGTTAGTCAGATGTCCCAGTTGGTAAATAGAAGGCACGGAAGCACACTGGAAGGCTGCAACAAGAAAGCCAAGAAGGAAAAAGGAAAAGTATCTTTTCATTATACCAAGATATTCCAAATACAAGAACTTCCCTCACGTTTGATGGTGAAAAGATGTCACGAATTTCCAGCCCACAGTGTGTGCAGGGCTGGTTAGGAGGTGGGCTTATCCAGTGTAAATTTGTCAGTGTATGTGAGGGTTTTGCTGTCTTGCTTGTTGCTGAGAGCTGACAGTGGTGAAATAGTGTTTAACATCAAACTGCTGATTCCTGAGTTGCACTGGGGCCAGGCACTGTTGTGGGTCCCTGTACCCCCTGTGTGGGCCACCCTGGATACTGGAATAGGGACAATGGTGAGGAATACAAGCTCAGCTCAGACCAGGGGGAGGCCAGCAGCGTGGGATTGAACTGACTACAGAGGTGTTTGCCATGCACCAATGGGAAAGACATGGACACATGAGGAAGGGAAAATACTGGCCCTCAGGGAAGAAGATATCCTCCAGAGGCTACGACTCGGGGAGGCCAACATGTAGGAGCACGCACAGCCCCATCCATTTGTCAGAGAAAGAATATGGCCCCCAGACTCACCACAGAGCAAGCAGACCAAAGACCCAGATCTCAACAGAACAGTGACCCGACCGTGGAAGCAAAGGCTTTCCGGGCTCACGGGTTCCTGGGCCCTGTTATTCTCCATTGTGGTGCTCATATAGTGGATGAATTCAGCGACTTTTATACAGTTATCTACCACTAAGGAACCAGGAACCGACGTAAGAGAAGAGACAGGCATTGTTTTCATTTCTGTCTGTGTGAGGCTCGTGCCTCTAGGCCTCCCGTGGAGGAGGGACTAGGGTCTCAGCGGGGCTTTGGTCCCTTCTCTCCCACAGGAGTGTGCCTTTTGTGTTCACCTTGGTTTGGCACAGTGGGCAGATTCGGGAAGAACAGCATAGAGGCTGACGATGACTCTCTGGCCAGCTCTCCACTAATTCTTGGGCATAGAATGTGGCTTCCTGATGAATAGCTCATGTGTAGGAATGGCCTACCTCGTCTCTTAGGCTCGGTGTACCAATGTGCAGAACCATTCCAATGCTTTCGTAATGACTGTATGTATGCGCGCGTTTGTGACAGGGTGGATAATGGTGGAGTTATGCAAATGAAGACACTCACAGCCCTCTCCTCTCTCTTTTCCACGTGGGCAGTGTAAAGAACACGATCTGGCCGTGATCAACCAGCTGCTGGACGATCCCAAATTGACAGCCAGGAAATACAGAGAATGGAAGGTGATGAACACCTTGCTGATCCAGGACATCTATCAGCAGCAGCAGACCCCGTCCGCCTCGGACAACACCTCTGAGGAGCTCCAGGAGCCGCCTTCCACCTGTGTGGAAAATTCTATCTGAGACGAAGCCAGGATTCTCCCCCTCTTACCTCTTACCTCGTCCGGCAAACAGCTCTACAAGATGCTGCATTTCCTCCTAGATGAAACCCAGTCTGTCCCTCACCAGTCCCCCCTTCGGAGCTGCCCCTTCGGTGAAGACCACCCCCAAAGACAGCAGGGCTTATTGTCCCAAGTCTGTCACCACGATCAAGACTGGGGTGTTGGTGGTCAGTTGACTAGACCGGTTTCTGTGTTCTACCCGGAGCTCACATCGATGGGGATGCCGGATGGCACCTGAGTAATGTGTCCTCTGTCCTGGCTTTTGAGAAAATGACAACTTACCACGGACAAGAGATCCGGTGTCATTGGTGATCATGACTCACAGACACCCCCTGTGTTCCAAAAGAAGCATGCTGGTGGGTCCTCACTCTGATGACAGTGCCGTTCTCCAAGGGACATTTCCGCTGCAGGAATGTTCTCTGTAGTAGTAGTTGGGACAAGATACACGTTGCATCATGGACTAGAAATGTCTCACCTCTCGTGTGAGTAAAGTATGGATCCTTTGTCAGTGGAGAAATTCTTTATGGAGGCTCAGGCCGGGGCATGCTGTAGACTCAACTCAAGGGTCATGTTGATATTTTCCCTTTTCCCAGGTGGAAGACTGTGAGTAATGTTGCTTTTCTTCAGAGCAACCGAGAACAAAGACTGTTATTATAGTTGAAGGCCTCTACTCCCGGCTAACTTCCGCAAATAGCTGGTACTCAGCCCGACCAGGAAGACCAGGCTGATGTTGTCTTGGGCTCTGGCGCCTGTCACATGATATGAATTCATACCCAGTTTTCCTGGGATCAACATGGAGAGATGATTCTGGCTTCAGCGTTGTTTCTACCTGGGGAAGGGGGAGGAGAGGGGATGCACACAAATGAACCAAACAACGTCAACGAAGGAGTTAAAGAAGATTGTTTTATTTTTGTATGTTTATGTGTTCCACCGTGTGTTATGTGGATAGCAATCTATGTTTCTTATTTAAATATATTTATAGAAGTTCCAATTATAGTGTTCTCAAAGATGATATACTATTATATGGTTGGTTTGGTAATATAAATTCTGGAAGTATATATACTTTTTGCCTGAGAGAAGTAAGCATAGTATTGATGTACGAGAATTATGTTGCACTATATGCTGTCAGGAATGCTCAGGAAATCCTGTGGGGAAAATATGGAGCATGTGTTGATCATTTTGTCTCTCTCGCTTGCTTGTTCTTTCTCTTTTTCTCTTACTTTCCTCTTCTCCCTCTCTCTCAATCTCTCCAGATCTTGCTCTTAAGTTTTTCTATCCTAAGCCAGCCTCTTAACTAAACCTAAAGCTTTACAACACTTACATCCATAAACTCTAGACCAAATGAAACACAAAATTTAATACAATCTCCTTGCTAAAGAATATGGGTTTGGGGTTTGTTATTAAAGCTTGCTCAAAGAAAACCAACTCCGTTTGTCTTCATTGCTTAGCACAATGAAGCTTTCTCATCATGAGAAGAACCATGACCCACCAGGGCCACGGACCTTCCCTGCCCTCGGAAAGTTGTTGACATGACACACCTCACTATGTCATAACTCTGCAGTTGCGGCTTGCCATTCATGTGGAAATAACCACCCCGTTTGCATCTGTGCATGCAGCGGAAATAGTGGCTGAGTGTTTTCTCCAGCCTAAAATGTCTTCAGTCTCTGTAAACAAGGGTTAAGAAAGAACACAATAGAAAATCCAGAAGGCAGGTGGAAGGAGCTCCAAACATTTTTGATCAGGAATTTACTGGTATATTTACTTTGGCCTGTTTTTTTTAATTAATATGTATTTAATTGACCTTTTACCATCCTCATTACAATTCAAATTTAATGTGAAAAACACCCACTGAGTCCTTTTTCCTCCTTTGTAAATAAATGCTTTCATTAGGTTGAGCTAGGAAGCAGGGATTGCTGACCTGTCGCCATGCTCAGGGGCAGAAGGGGAAGGAGGAAAGTGACAAGAAGAGCAGGTGGCGCGTAGGAGCCCTGGCGATTTCTGTCTTGGTCTCAAGTCACTTTTCTGGTCTGAGAAAAGTGGGGAAAAGCGATAGATATTGTGCTGTCATGTGTGTCCCCGAAATGGATGTTGGGGTGAAAGGAGAGATTCCTGTACTGGAGGAAGGTGTCCTGTGAAGACCCAGAGCCAGGCTGCTCAGTAAGCAGCCGAGGATCACTGCGCTTCAGTCCCTCCAGACTTCCAGCACTCGCTACAGCCATCAGAACTGTGGCCTTGGACTCTGGGTTTGTGGAAGCGACCTCTCTGGCTGCCCGAGCCTGTAGACCCAGAGGGAGCCTCCTAGGAGACCCGCACCCCTGCTGCCCTGAAAACAAACGCAGAATCCCACATCCTTCTTGCATTTGAGGTGATTCTGTCCCTTTGAGGAATGGCTGCAGTGGCTCAGAAGCTCAGAATCCAAGTCCTGGAGAGAATCCTAATTTCAGGGTGAATGCACACACGCCTTGCACGCACAGCACTTTCTCCTTTGCAGCCCAGCCCTGACCCTGCCCGCTGCCCCATGGCGCTGGGTGACCGGGGTCAGCACTGAGGCTTCTGTCAAGAACCTTGGCCAAGGCCCCACCTCAGAGAGCCAGGTGTAAGGGGGAACCTCAGGCCTCTTGGACCCTTGCAGCCTTGCCTCTTTTTTGGCAGAATCCCCGCTGCCCCAGTCCTGAGGTGACAGTTGGTCTAAGCTGGGTGCTGCACTCTGTGTCCAGGGAAAGGACTGACCAGGACCCTGCTGGCCTTGGTGGCTCTTTGCTCAGCCTTCCATGGGAAATCGGAGAGAGCTTCTGGGTTTTCTGGGAACCAAGACCTGACCTGGTCTTTTTCCCTCTGTAAATTGTACCACTGGTTAGTACTGTGAAGCCTTCGGATGAATGACCATCTATGAATGGTGATAGATTTAGACAAATGGAAAGTGCCCGTTCCTCACCCCTCGGAAGCACATCAAGTCAGAAATCAGAGACTCAGGTTAGTGATTAAGGGTCAGTGCTGTGATCTTCCTTTCTCAGTCTCCTGGTGGGGGGGGGGGGGAAGACTTCAAATCACAAACTATAATGGACCTGAAACTGACTGAAAGGAAAATATTCCGTAAGTTTTTTGCAGAGAGGTGCTATGCCGATGAAAGCCATAGTTAAATTTCAGCCAGATTCTTGGTAAGGAAGAGTGACTGTATTTTGATGTCCTGACACCAACGGCTTTAGTGAGTCAGTTAGGTGAGAGCCAAATGTCATTTTATCTTGAAAGCTGCTGTGACAAGGGAAAGTTGTAGGATGTCTGTCTTCTTTGGTGTAACAGAATGTGTCACATGACAGAGATTTTCCAATGTCTTTCCCTTGTGATATTTTTGTATACTTACCCACACGAGAAATCAAGTCCTAGAAATAGGAAGCAAGTACTTGCCTAAGATTTTATCCCCCATAATTGACAAGAAAAGCCCTTTAAACTAGATATTTTGCAAACCACATGAAGTGGTAGTGATTATAATAGACCTCCTGGGATGAGACCTCGAACAGCCACAAGCATTTCTGTGTTGAGACAGGAAATGATTTCTTTGCCTCTTACGGACATCTTGAACTCTTTCCCATACGACCACAATACCACACAGAAAGCATCACAGAGTTCAACCTGAAAAAAAGTTCACATTTCTCTTGATATTTCAGAACTTCATTGCTCTGCATTGACATTTCTTTACCTTGAACCCAAAGGGAAGCATGTACCACGGAGGTATTGAACACCCTATAATAAAAACTAGCATTTGCAAGCACCACATATTGCAATCTCTGAGCATGACAGGGATTTGACTTGTAACGCTGCATGGTGTCTGGGGGCAAGATGTACATGTGAAACTAATACCGTAAATTTCATTGTGCTTTTGTTCTTCATTGTCGTCGTCGTCGACTCTTTTTGGCTAACTAAACTGATTTAAAAAAAAAAAGGCATGGTTCATTTCTCCTGCTTTATGGTTTTGTGATTGACTTGTAAGGAATAAAAACAAATGAAAATGTATGTAGTACAGTAACGTGGGGAAAAAATTGGAAACATATTACTGGTGTTCAATTGTCTGCTTTGCACAGTTTCTTCCTTAAAGAAAAACAAAATAAAACAAAATTCTGTAGCTGGGAGGTGCTTAATGGCTGCACTTTGATCTTCTACAAGGGTTCTTGCGCCCTCTGGTGGCTATCTTGAGAATAATTGATTCCAGAAACTTGAAAATAAAACACCTAATTATGTTGGGGGCATCAATGGCAGCAGCAGCAGCTGTGGTCTTCAGCGTCTCTTGGCTTACAGGTTTATTTAGATTTATTTGGGTTTATTTATTTAGTATTATATTTAGATTTTTTTCAAAATTTCCCAGTGGTCCACAAAATTTAATGTATATCTCTTAGTACCTCTTATCTGTATGGGCTAACCCCATTCATTTTATTGAGAGACGTTAAAAGAATTTAAAAGAATTGTGACTGATGAAAGATACAACCAATGATACATACATTTATTAAAACACCTACAATGTTTTTAAGGAAAATGAACAAAGAAAATATACAAATAGAAGAGTAGATTGTTTCCAGGCCTCCCTGTGGTGTACAGAAATGAATTTTTTCCTACTTCTCTCCCAGTTTTTCTCCTACCAGCTGAGCTCCATCTTCTTTTTCTCCTTTATCTAGCCTCTACCAAGTCTCTCTCTCTCTCTCTCTCTCTCTCTCTCTCTCCTCTCCTTTCCTTCCTTCCTTCCTTCTTTCTTTTAAAAAAACCACCCTTTTTGTCTTAGGCCTGTAAGTTTCCCTGATTGCACTTTTCAGAGGCCATGATGATATCCTGCAAGTTTCTTTCCTCACTTGCTCTCCTTGCTGCCTACCCTGCCAGTACGGTCAGCTTCAGCGCTAGGGTTAATAAGGTCAGTCTCAGGATGATGTAACTGGGGAAGTGGCAGTTTGGCTGAAAGAGGGAAGCATTGGCACACACTTGCAAAATGGAATTGGCCAGCTGACAGGAAGCCAGGACACAACGCCTGGTGGGAGATCCCAAAGGAACAGGTTGACCAAGGAGTATGAGCAGAATACCAGGCTAGATAGAACACGTCACACCATGCTTCAGATACGGATGTCCTATCAGGAGTCCTGAAAGACAGGCCTAAAACGCTCCCAAGATGGCGCTCCTTTGGAGCCTGGCAAAAAACCATGGGCTCACATTCTACAAAGTAGACACGTTAGAACCGACAAGGGATGCTATGGAGGAGGGATCCACAGGCTGAGAGAAGTAGGCAAAAGGCTCCTCAAAGGAGAATCAGAAGTGCACCAGTTGAAGATGCGTTGTAGGATGCCCCAAGATGCCATCAAGGCAATGGGAATGGGAGGGTGAGGCGGCGGCCAGCCTCATTGGAGGCTTCCGGGGCTGTTCTCTGGAGGCTGTGCTTGCCAGTGGAAGACACCACGAAGGAAGAGAAACTCTTTCCCAGCAAAGGGGGATGAGGGACTTCTGGCACAGTAGCGGCCAGGGGGCAGCACTTAGAGAATCAGAAGTCAGGTGGTGGACAGAGAATCGCTGTCTCGGGTAAGGTTTGAATGGCAAGGGTGCCGGCCATTCAGCTTTTGGGAAATGATAAGAGCTCATGATCTTCTAGAGATAAGACACCTAGGAGCCAAGAAACATTACACGATATTCTTGGGATCTCCCAGAAAGTTTTCAGAGTAGGACATGCAGAAAACCGAAGTCAGCTTCTTCAAGAGAGAGTCTACAATCCCATGATTAGACTCTAGACCTCAGCCATAAGAAGAGGCGATTTTCCACAAGGAACTTTTAAGCTACAGGCCATCATGTTCTCAGCCCTGTTCAATGCACCATTTCAACAAAGCTTCTTCTCCCTGGCTCTTTTTAGGTCTCCTGACCTGAGACTGTTGTCACGGCTGCATGTGTGTCTTTCCTATATGGAGTCCTTTTGGTCCTGTGTTATGGGAGGATACGTTCAATATGCCCAGTAAGAATGGCACATTGAAGGTGATATATTTCTCCTGGCTCAATAGTCTATAAGCTCTGACAATGAAACCAGAAAGCAAATTGCCTTTTGTTGCTTCGTATGTCATGTTAACTTAGGGCCTAATCTACTATGGAATATCAGCTCACACAGCACATCTGGTGCACTGACTTTATGTCTTATGCATTAAAGGTGTCATTGCACACCTGAAAAGCTTTGGTGGGAATGGAAGTGTTCACCTTAGTGTCACAGATTAGTAACTGGAGTTGACTGTATGAAATCTCCTCTCCCACCTTCTTTATTTAGATGTCCAAATGAGGGCAGTATCTTTCTCTCTAGTAAGACAGTGCTTTGCAGAGAGGCCCACTGAAATATTCCCTGATCACTAGGCCATTTTACCAAGGAAAATGCCATATGCTTTGTTTCTGGTCTGATGCTTGTAGATCTTATGAATCAAGGTTCTTTTTTCCTTCTTATCTATGGATGCTTTAGTACTGTTTGTTGAAAATTATTTCCTTCCATTGAATTGATTTCAACCTTTGTCATAAGTACGTCTGGTATATTTGTCTGTCTATTTCTGGTTCTCTGTTCTGTACATTTGATCTCTATCTATGTCCCTTTGTACCACAGTCTGATTATAAATAAGTATTGAAATAGGGCAGATTGCTTCCTCCCACTTTCTTCCTCTTTTTCAGAATGCCTTAGCTATTTTTGTTCCTTGCCCTTTTGCGTAAAATTTAGAATAATCTGGTCTATGTATTATATCCTTGCTGTGAATCTAACAGGATTTGCATAGGGAAGACTAACATCTTTTAAATGTTGAATAGTTCAACCTACAAATCCTGTGGCATTACTTGGTAATCCCATGCCTAGAACAACCTGCCCAGTCAAAGGTGTCTTGGTAACCTCTTTGTACAACTTCATAAAGATCATAAAAGTATAACTAAGAAAAAGTGGAGGTCTGGGAAGGTGGCTCAAGTGGTAGAGCACTAGCCTTGATCTGAAGAGCTGAGGGACAGTGCCCAGGCCCAGAGTTCAGGCCCCATGACTAAAAGAAAAAAAGAAAAGAAAAGAAAAAGTGGATTATAGAAACTTGGCTGCTAAGTTCACAATAACCAGGGACTCAGATGACTCAGAGAGGGGGTCTTGGTCTGAGACAGTGGTGGTGGGGGCCGAGGAGAGCCCAGAACATGTGGAACAGGAGGAAGATGACTCCTTTCCACTTAGGGAGATCTCTTGAGCTCCCCACACCGGTATTCCTCGATTTACCACGAATGAGTGCTGTACATGTCTGTTAGGTTAACCCGTAAGTATTTCATATTTCAGCGATTATAAATGGTATTGCATTTTTAATTTTGGGGGCCCCAGGTCCATTACAAGTATATAGAAATAAATATGGTTGGTTTTTGTGCCTGCTTATTTTGACTCCTGTGATTTTCTTGTCCAAAAATGGGTTTCTC